ACACACACACACACACATCACGCGCTCATACACATTCTCTCTCTCTCTCTCTCTCACACAAACACACGCACGCCATAGCGGTAGAGATATTGTGTGAAAAGAAAAAATACAAACATATTATACACATAAAACGATATCGTTTAAGAGAAACCTAATTGGATTTCTGAATATTGAGGGCTTTCGAGTATTAAGCATCGTATTGTTTTTTTTGTTCATTATTTTTTTTCAGATTAAAGATTGACGGAAAAATGTATTGCGTACTTTAAATACTTTTGACATCACGAATGTTGTATACAGTACTTTTTGATGTTGCGAAAACTGAAAACTACAAAATGAAATAACTTTTTTATATTTTGGTGATATTATAATTAATGATAGACAAATCACTTATCACAAATTATAAGTTAGGACGGTTTAGTAAATACATTTTATTTACATACTATGAAAATTCTAAGTTTTCATATGACGTGGAAATATTTTTTGAAATTATTGTACATTTTACGATGCTCATCAATTTCACAAGCATTTAAAAATCTTAGGGTCATGGTGTGTCGTTTTTTTCTTCAAATTAACGTTTAAGGGGTAGTTAGTCGAATGCTAAAATAATTTAGTATGTCAATCGTCATAAATATTTATAAATTTAACAGCGATGGAAATGGATTGTTCGTGTTTGATGATAACAAAAGTATAATGCGCAAACACGTTTAATTGCATTCGTCTCGTAAGTAAGCAAACAGTTTGAAACGGGTCTACATAATTTTATGTTAGCTATGTATGGTTATGGTATATGGTATATGGTGTACGGTATAGATTAGTGCCAAATATTAAACCAAAATCGGACAACGACAACATAAATGTATACCTATGTAAATTATCAAACATTGACGAGTCGTTGAGTCATTGCAAACGACTAATAATGTCAGAGGAGCTCCTTTTCGATGTCACCGTCCAAAGCGTTTTATAATTCAATACCATGAAAAATATATTTAGGATGATGGGACGAAGAGTGAAAAAGACCAGTGAACGGAATTGACTCTGTACTCCAAAAAGAATTTAGTATTTCTACCAAGTACTTGTTTCTGG